ACCGCCCCACGCCTTTTTTATTTGCTTGGTTTTAGATTTCCTCGCAGGTTGTTTTTAATTTTTTTTAAATTTTGCCCTATTTGTTGTGCGTGTTCTTTTTCCCCTTTTGCTTTGAAGTCTCGCGCGCGTCTCTAGTATTTCTGGCGTTTTCGCTTTCTTTCTTGCAGGTTTTTTTTTTCGTTTGTGGTTGCGCTCGGTTTTGCCTCGCCCAAGATGGGGAGGAAGAGTGAGGATGGCGCGGGGCCTCGCGCATTGCCACCCACGCCTCGGATTGACCCGTCGACTGAGCACTACCCCTTCTGTATTGTGTGGGCGCCCATTCCCATTCTTTCTTGGATCCTCCCCTTCGTTGGGCATGTGGGGATTTGCGACTCTGTCGGGCGCATTTTTGACTTTGAGGGCCCGTACAAAATTGGTGTGGACAGCATGTTGTTTGGCAACCCGGTGAAGTATTGGGACATTTCCGAAATGTACGCCCCGACGTTGCACCGCTCCTCGGGCGCGGCCCCTCGAACGATAGAGGAAGAGGAAGCACGCCAACGGGAAGCGAGGGAATACGACGACGCAGTGGAAAACGTCGCGAATCATTTTAGAAAAACTCAGGTATACAACTTTTTCACGAACAACTGCCATTCTTTTGTGGCCAGCGTGCTTCGGAGCCACCCGCTCTCCGGCGCGGGGTCATGGGGCATGGTGCGGGTCGCTTTCGGGCTCGCCACCCGCGGCCGCTACATTTCGACAGGCAGATTCCTAAAGGCGCATCTTCCATTTTTGGTGCTGGTGGTGGTGGCCGTTCTCCTTTGCATCCTTGCTCGGTAAATCCGACTGGGGAACCCGTGTTTTTTTTTTTTTTTTCGTGGTGGGCTCCGCCTTTCCGGGCCGCGCCCGTTTGGGAAACGAGGCCCAGCTGGCGAAGGGGGCGCTACGGGAACTGAGGTTCTTTTTTTCACTCATCACCCCGCTTCTCTGCCAATTCTCTTTGCCGGATCTAGCTGAATGCGCGCTTCCCCCTACACATGATGCGGCGCTGATAGGCCCCCCCCCCCCCCCCCCATCCCTGCCCTTCCAGGTGCGGGCCCAGCGCTCTGGCAGCGCCCCCGCCAGGCCGGGCTGTGCCAAAGAACCCCGGCGGGGATGGGGGCGCGCCGGCCCCACGCCACCCGCCACGCCTACTACCTATGCGCAACGGCAAATGGGAAAGAAGATGTAGATGGAGAAGCCCTTTTTTTTTTCAACCGCGTGCGCCTCCTGCTGTAGGGCGCCCCCCCCCCCCCCCTACCTGCTTGGGCACGCGGGGGCCGGCGCCCACACTCAAAACAGAAACAATGGCGGCCCCGCCGCGGGCAAGCTTCACGAAGCGCCCGCCCCCTGCTCTTAGAAAAGGAAAAGCCCCATTCATTACTATTATTTGCGCGCGGCCGGTTCCCTAGCGCGTTTGCCCCGCCGTTCTTTCGCGCGGCCGCCGCCTCAGCCTCCCCTCTGGCCCCTTGAATTCCCCACCCGCAGGGGCCCCTGGGCTTCCTACTCGTGGAGGGGGCGCTCCGCCCCCGCGAGGTAGCGCACGCCGGCGCCAACGGGCGACTGCAGCAACATAACGAGCGGCTTTTTGGGATAATCGATAAGATCCCTGCAGTCGCTTGGCGCCACCGCGCCCTGGGCCTCTCGAAGCAGCGCCGCGTCGTTGAAGCAGAAGCGCTCATATGGAGTCGGAAAGTGCTGCATCAACACCGCCACCGCCTCGGGAAGATTTCGTTTAAGGACAAACAAAAAGCAATTCGCCCCGGCGTCGAATGTGTACGCCAAATTGGGGCTGCCCCTTTTGGCGTTGTAGGCCCTAACAAGCCGTATCATCGCATAGCTGTCCTCCGTGGCGTACTGTATCCGAGGCAGCGTTGTGGCGCAGATTTCCTGCAGGTCATCTGATTCTCGCATCGCAATTTCGGCAAATGTGGAAAAATCCTTCGCTTTTATAGCCTCCGAGACAACACGCATGCGCTCGGGCACCGTGGTGGTGATGCGTTCCGGCATCAACGGGGAAGTCCGCAGCGATTGCTGCATGCCTGCCGTGCTGGATGTGTCTTTCTTTTCCCCTTGAAGAACAGCGCACAAGACCTGCATTTCAGGCCAGTGGTTCTCGTCCACGAATTGGGTGGCCACCGAATCGCTTCCGTCCGGCTTCACCCCCTTATGCCACACCACAAACCCGCCCAAGGCGCTTCTGCAGGCACTGCCCGACCCCAGCCGAGCAAGCATCGACACATTTGCTGTGGATTTGAAAACCCGCACCAGCGCCGCCGCAAGAGCGCAGTACCCACTCGCAGAAGACGCCATTCCGGCGGCGGTGGGGAAGTTGTTCTCAGAGACAATATAAACCCGCTTGCTTTTGAGTTCCTCGGGGCACGAATTTCGCACATGCGCCAACACCGATTGCACTCGCGGGTTGCTTTGTATATCGGATTGCTTGCCGTTAAGGATGAGCGTGTCCCTGTCCAAATCATCGCGAAGCGCCACCGACGTTTTGCTGCGAAGCGGCTGCGTGGCGAGGGTGATGCTAAAGGAATCGTTCACAGGAAGGATAAGCTCTTCTCCGCCCTCACGTTTTCCCCAGTACTTAATGAAAGCAATGTTGATCGGTGCCTCAACGGTCGCCTCCAACGCCGCCATCCGCTTGCAATGGAGTGCCGGTGCTGTTTGTAGAATAACTTTCTTCGAAACAGCAATGATAATGGGAAGAAGGCAACGCAACCACGGCGCAGAAGCAACTATGCATGCGTGTTTGTGGTGGTGGTAGGCTGAATGGGTACTTTGAGGGCGCGGTTGCCGTGTTGATTGAGGAGCGCGCCCCCAAAAAGCGGAGAGAGAGAGAGAGAGCACAGGAAAGAAAACAAAAAAAAAAAGACCCACACCCCCTCCATGGCCCACGTGTGAAGTATGGCGAATTCATCCAACACAACCCGAGTGACGACTCGAAGCCGCTGGCTGTAAGCACCGTTGAAGAGCATGCGTGGCCTGAAGGTGTGCGGCGTGGCAACAAATGGCGAGATCAAGTGGACGGAGCGCGTCCACCGAAGCATCCTCACCCCAGTCAAACGCACATAAAGGAGACAGTGCCTCTTCGGCGTCACGTTCCAAGCGGGGACGTTTGGCAGCAGGAATTGCAGCCCCACCACTCCCGTCCCTCTTCAAAAGCTGTAATGCATGAACCGCGTCATCCTCGTGAAAAAATTCCACAATCGTTCTAAATGATCGTCCATCCAGAGAGACGCTGAAAGAGTAATCCGTCACGGGCCCAATGTGCCGGGTAAACCTCACAATTAAGCCTGCTGGGTCAAGAAGCGTCATGGGTATTTGGACAGCATTACTAATTCGTCTGCTTCGCGTAAACTCTGTGACTCTGACGCCCTGCACCTTCTCACAGCTGCCAGTTCCCACAGAGCCGGATGATGCCTCACTGCCTCGAAGCAGTTGCCCAACCTCCTCATCTGTTTTTTGAATGCACCCTTCAGCCTCTCGAATCGCCTCCTGGACGTGGCAGTACGACTCTTGTAGCTGCCGCAGTTGCCGAACAAGGCCGTGGTGCTCACTGTCCTTTGCGGCAGTCGACAGCAGCGCGGGTATGCTGTCGACAAGCAGCGTGTCCATCCGCAGATCAGGAGGCATTTGATGATTCAACGGCATATTTGGGTTTGCCACCACCTGCTGCTCCCCCTCCGCCCTCTTAGCAAGTGCAAGATCCTCCGCATTGACCTCCGCAGGTAGTCGCTTGGCGTAGACATTCGAAGAAATGTGAATGACGTGGTTCTTCAGTTTTTCCCCGTCAAGATAGTTGACCGCGAGCTGCGCCGCGGAAGCGTGCTTAAACCGCACCCAGTAAAAGGGGCACCTCCGCGCCGTGTCGTACTGCACCTTTGTTTCCTCAACGTCGCCAATGATTCGCAGCCAGTCGTGCACGTCCTCAACAAGAACAGCCGATTGATCCTCCACAGAGACATGGACTACCCTTGCATCATCCCTAGTGCCCATCGTTCGCTACCGCAGCTGCCACGGTGGTAACAACAACACAAACATTAGTTATAGTGGTGGATAAAGACAAAAACAAAAAAGTGGAACCCCCACGCACACAACCGGTGAACACTGCAGGGCGCAGGGGGGGGGGGGGGGGGGCAAGAGAAAACCGCAACGAGCCAGCGGCAAAGCCACAGGGAGGCAAAACTAATAAAGTATTCTTCCTCCTCTTCACTTGCACCCGCACCGCAGAGGTGTATACACGTATACGTGAGAATAAAAAACGGCAGGACGCATTCTTCCTTGGGAAGCAGAGCTTACAAGAGAAAGATCAATTCAAAAACAAAAAACAAAAAAACAAAAAAAAAAAAACAAGCTCCTTCCCATGACAACAATTAAGATGTCACATATACACACATGTTTGGAAGAGTGCTTTTTTGGTCATGCACCTGTTCCAACTGACGAATACAGCGGAAATAATGACCCCAATAATATAAACACACAGCAGCACGCACAAATAAAAAAAAAAAAAATGAGAAAAAAAAAGAAGGCACACATCAACTGCTAAAAATAACGAATGCAACGAAAAAAGCAATTGTGGGTGATGACATTTACATACTTATCTACAGCACTGCGTCTGTGGTTGTGTGTATGCGCCCCTTCATTATTATTTTTCCTCCTTATCTCCCTCATTTTATACTCATTCCCTCACCCGGCCCTAAATCACATTCACACCACCGCGGTCACTGGGGTCCCGCTCGCACCTTCGGCATGTATGTATTTATTGCTCCTATCCCCCCACCGTTGTCCGTTTGTAATCTTTTTGTTTCGTCCCTATTTACCTTTTCCTTTGTGTGCGTTTTTCTTTTTTTCTTTTATACCGCTCTCACGGCTGATGAACACCAGGTGGGTGCTTTTCGTGGGACGCCTCATCACCCACGAGCGAGGTGCGGCTGCTCTCGGAAGACGAGGAGCGCGGGCGAGAGCGCCATATACGTAGGCACACGACAAGCCAGCATGGTACAGCCAAAAACATTATAGAAAAAACTACCAGCAACGCGTTACGCAGTTGATGTTTGTTCACACAGTGGCCAGAGGATGCGTCCGCCGTATTGTTTATCCACTTGCAGCTGTGGGTGCTACCATGGCCGCATTCGGCGTAATCGAGTTGCGGGCAACCTCCAGCAAAGACACGGTCTGACAGAAATCCCGTAAACGTCGGTGAGGGAAAGTCGCCGAGAGCGTGAATGATAAAAACTGAGTAACTTACTGCGTACGCCTTCAGCTCTGCCGGTACCACTCTCATAATTGCCGCATTAACAGGTGCAGTTACCATAAAAAGTGCAAACACGGACACAACCAATAGGAAAATAAAGACACCAAGGTTCTTCATCAACAGTGCGACAATGCCAAGTGGTACCGACACCGCGATCATGAGGGTAAGAAGGAGTTGACCCTTGATCATGTTCATAGACTCATCTCGTCCTCCCACTTTGTCAAGGGCAATGCCTCCTGCAATTGAACCCAGTACACCGGTAACTGCGGTCACCCCACCCATGATGAGCGAAGCGTGCATATACGAAAGCTCCAAGGGCCCCTGTATAAGCATAGGGATTCCCCAAACGGCCACGGCCCCAAGAACAAAACAATACATTGCGTATCCAAACACAATCAGAACATAGTTTAAATTTTTTAACAGAATCCACGTTGCCTTGTGTAGCGGGAAGTATTCCGTTTCATCTGACTCTTGGCGCATATTATACGAGGCAGGCAAAAGGGCAATGACCAACACAATAGGTACGGAGGCCAGGACTTGAGAGAAAAAAACAAGACGCCATCCTTCAGTAGATCCTATCACACCAAACGAGCTGATGATACCCCCAACAGTCATGCCAATCGCAGTTCCCACAGGCATCATGGAGTAGAATGTACCTATCCATAACGTGCGAGAGTTCGGTGGCGCAATACGGTCTATAGTAGTGACTGTAAATCCCACAAACGCTGCCTCACCAACGCCGACGACAATTCGGCATGCCAAGATGAATTCATACGACATTGCAAAGCCCGTGCCTATGCAAGCAAGAGCCCATACGACCATACCTCCTACAATCATCCACTTGGAAGGCACAACTCCACCGAATGCTGCAAATAATGGGCTTGTTGTCATGAAACCAACCATAAAACCCGAAACAATGAAACCCATTTTTGTATCAGTAATGGCTGCTGAGCCTCCTGATATGATCTTGTCTTCCTTAATACTTGCTAAGCAGCCGGAGATGGCTCCACGGTCGTAGTACGTAATGAAGTTCAGTGCTGTAAAGACGGCCAAAACGACCCGTGGGGTCACAATCCGTCTCCAGCAACTCTGTATTCCCACCTCCTCCTCCTCCTCCTCCTCTTCCTCTTCCTCCCGCGCCACCACAGCGTCCTCAGTGTGTGCCTCGTCCGGTTGTGATAACTTCGCAGAGTCCCGAAGGGCGCGCTCGTCACCTTGGTCCGGGAACATTTCGCATAACTTCTTCCCCATAGTAGTCATAAGAGCGGGAAACACTACGACGCAACGCGGCAACGAGAAAAAAAGCACACACACACACACAAAGAAAGAAATAGAAGCAGAAAAGGTATGTGTGAAAAAGCAACGATCCGTCATGAAGTGAAATGACAGCGAGCGACGCCAGCAATAACGAAAAAGGAAGCAAAAAAAAAAAGGAAAGTGCTGCACCGTAAGACACCTCCTCTCCACCCTTGATCCCCCCCCCCCAAAAAAAAAAATAATAATAATAATAATAATAAAACAAAAAAAATGCCAGTATTCACCATCTCTGTAGCCAAACCTCCCTCGCCGTCGCTCACAAACCGGCGACCCACCGCGACGGAAAGCGCCACTGCCCCGCACCCAGCCTGTAGAAAAAAGGGGAACGAACACATACAGACAATTCCACCCCCACTCAACAGCAACAACAAAAGTAAAACACGTCAACCCCTCAAAATCAGGAAAGCACCCTAATATAACATAACACGGACAAGAGCAACGAAACCTACAGCAAGTAAAGCCGGCGTGACCCCACAAATCCCATCTAATCAAAAATAGTCATCGGGAAAGTTCTACAAAGATGTGATGGTCTTCAACGTGAGCAGAGCAGAGGCAACACTACTTGTATCAGGGAGTGTCTCAACCAGAGTCCAGGCGGCACGCGCCCATTCCGCCTGTCTTACTGTCTCGGTAAGAATAAGATAAAAGACAGAATTGTTCCATGCCTCCACCGTGAAGTATTCAAGAAATAGCCGCACAAACGACAAGGGATTGCTAGTAACTGTCCGCACTGCATTTGAATGATGATGCTTAATAAAGGAAGCGACTGTCACGTCTTCAACACCTAGTGAAAGTAGTTCCATGAGCCGCTGCATCACAGATAATTGCTCCGTACGATCAAAGGCAAGGTTAAACGATTTATACAGAAATGAGAGAGCATCTGTAACGTACTCTGTGCATTTATCAGTGTTATTATCACATTTCAGGAAAGCTGTTATTTCATTCATCACCATCGACACAGCTTGCATATAAAGCTTTATAGTGACACCATAAAGCAAAGGGTACTCTGAAGCGTACTGCAAAGCAATGAAAGATGCCCCCTCAGCCAAAGCTTCATAGTCTTTAAAAGTCGCAGGTATGCTAGATAACTCATCCACAATCCTCTGTATGTGTTCTGGTGTATCTTGGGACGGCTGCCGAAGGTGTCGCTCTGCCTCAGATAGCAGCAGCGTCAAACGATGGTTCATCTCGGGCAGAGAGGCAAGGGACTCTTTACACACACGCAACTGTTCTTCCAACTCACATGGAGTGAGTTGCGGAAAACCGGTCGCGAAAAGCTGAAACTCATCCTCCAATGTACATAAAAGTCCTGATATGAGGAGTGAACGAGATGGCCCCTCACCGGGTGTGGGACCTTGCAGGGCAGCGCGCGTTGCCGCACGAAACAAAAAAACGCTGGTCTGACCAGGACCATCGGTGAACTCTAAACCCAGTACAAGAAACGCCTGCGCCCACCACGTTACTTCCTCGTACGACAACGCTATCATTGCACATTCATCCGAAAGTAATTTTTGGAAACGCTCTGTAACGGCATGCAGCTGCTCATCTGTGTAGCTACATGCCCTACTTAGCAACGACGCCACATACACCCGCAGTAACTCAAGCTCTGTGGGATGGTCTGGTACGGAAACTGAGGAAAATAGGACCCGGGTGATCACTAAAGAAACACCGTGAAGATAACCATGTTTCAGGGAGTAATTAAGAGCCGTACAAAGAGCGGGCATTACCAACTCGGCAGGCTGACATAGCAACAAACAATTCAATTCCTTTTCCAGGTCCACCTCATTGGACTCTAGCACGGCGACTTTAAACAGCAAGGTGTGAGCAAAAGCACAATGTGGGTCTCGACTGGAGGTATAATCCAAAAGTATTTGTTTCGCCCTCGTTAATGCGTTAGATGGTTTTTCCCCATCCTCGCATTGTGCGAGATATTCTGTACAGAGACGAAGATATATGGCATCAACCTCTGTGTCACTGGCACAATCTTTAAATCGAAGAGCCGTTTCAAGAGAATCCACAAGCTGTAACGGGGTAAACTCCCCCGTGTCAGCAAGTCCCCAAAGCCACAGAAAACAATAACGGCGGTGTCGAGCCTCTTCAAAGTCTACGCCTTCATTCTGCAAAATATGTAAGGCCTCCTTGCACGAAGCAAGACTCCCATTATGAAGTAAAAGTTGTGATAATCGAAAGGTAACAACTTCATTAGATGAATTACCTCCTGTTTTGTTGCACAGTAAGCGCATACCTTCAATGGCACCCTCCTTTTTATCCACAAGGAGATTGTGTATTTCAAAACATGCCGCCACCGCATCATCAACGGAAGCGTCTGATCTGTGAACATATTGGTGAAGTAACGCAATTGCCTCTGCTTCCATACCTGACTTTGCCGTTGTCGTCAGACGCAACAATGCGGAAGTGTTCGAATTAAGTGTGTCATCGGCTTCTACAGCCCAACTCAACGCCTCTGTCGGTTTACCTTCACGAAGCCAGGAAAGAGCCATTTGCTCCATCGTAGCACCACTAAGCATCATGTCATGGTGCGACGGATCGCTCATCCTCGCTCGCTTAAAGTGACTCTGTACCTCTATCGAGCTCTGAAGCATATCACGCATGTACTGCTCCTCACCAAGAGGAACACCACTGTTGCCAACGGTGAACACAAAACGAAAAAAAGCTTCTCTGTGATCTCGTAGTAAGTCATGATCTTTTAATAACATATGTGCGAGTTTCCTTGCCGCGGCACAGGATTCCTGGTAATGTCCCACATTCCAAGTGATATCCATCTCTGTGTACGCAAACTCCCAACTCATGTTGCGATGCTGAAGGTAGGCGAGACTATTTTGAGCACCGGCAGGTATGTACGACGCCACGGTTTTCCCCACAGAGAGAAGATCCTTTGCACTACTTGCCACACCGCAGAGTGAAAGATCCCGCGACGTCTTAAGGCACATCAGCACACACTGTTCCGCCTCACGTGGGTGCTGCGTAAAGTAACTGTGCGAAACGTCTCTTGGTGCGTAGGCGTAGTTGCCAAGAAGAAAAGCCTTTGTGGCAAACTCTCGCAAAGACGACTTTAAAACTCGCTCGTCCAGAGAATCTTCTTTGGGAGAATGCCGCACCGTCATGTTCCAGCATGAACTTCCAAGAAAACGCGACTCCTCGAGTGTCTTTACTGGAGGGCTAACACCTCCCTCCTTCGCCGCTGCTGACATGGACGCCGCCATTGCCTCTACAACCTGCGTGAGACATGCAACCTCTGAAAGAAGTTTGGTGTTGTCACTTTTGTCCTCCTCGCGTGTGGCGAATGCATGAAGTACCTCATCGAGTCGCACGCTCAACTGCTGTGTATCCATAACCGACGGTGCCGCCTCCATCAACCACCACAAACAACAACAAAAAAAAGCAGCTCCCTCTGTGGAGGGTGTTGGGTGCAGTATCTATCTTCGGGCGGCTGCGCGGCAGGTGGAGATCAGCAAAAAAAAAAGAGAAAGCAGCAAAGGGACAAGAAAGAATGCACAAGGAAGCAAAAAAAATAAAATATGAGAGGGTACAATTAAATAGAAGGCCAGAGATGCAGATTAGCAGAAATAGTTTAAGCCAAAAAACAATAACGACAAAACACTCAAACAAACTAAAGGGAGAAGTGGAGAACCGACTAGAGTCCTCACTGCTATTGCCTCTTCACCTCCTTCCCTCGTTCCTCTCGCTCTGGTCCTACACCTTTCACCGCCTACACCGTCACTTCCTCCTTCCAACGCTACTTTGTGGCCTTTTGAGCCGCTATCGTCTGTTTTGCGGCCTCCAACTCCTCTTCTCTCACCATTTCTTTTTCTCTCTCCCTCACCATTTGCAAAATCTGCTTTGAAACTCGGTGTTCACGCACCTTCCGTTCAAGAACAGGCGTCGTGGGGCCCACTGTGTAGGCATGATACACAAACGACAACCATATATTCCCAAAGAGTATCACACACATAAATACCATTGACATCACAAATGTCTTCCATAACTGCAGCTGCGTCTTGCGCCAAATCCATCGAACGCGATTGGTGCGAAGTGGCTTCGTCAAGCGTCCTATTTTGTTCATTACCAGCATACGAAAAAAAATTGACCGACGGGCGAGTGTGTCTTTCGGGGGTCCAGCCCCCGGACCCCACATTCCGGGCCTATCTGAGTACTTTGACGGTGTCGGCATGAGATGCCCACGGTTCATGCAGCGTCGCTGGCATCGTCGAAGCATTGGAATCCAAAACCCGTCAACTTCTACGCAAGAAGCTAATTTCCCATGGGAGAGAAATAAAAAGAAAAAAAACATGGAGCAGATGTCATTATTGAGGGAAATAACGTATGCATTTATTAAAAGAGAAACACCGATGCGGTCTCCCCCCCCCCCCAAAAAAAAAACGATAAAGATGTTGTGGGTAAATAGTTGAAGAGTTTTCTTCTTCTCCCTTCCACCGCCTTGGAGGCCAAAAACCGTACGTGTTATGCCGCTACCAAAACGCAGCTAATGCGAACCCACAGTTTGCTAGCAAGGAAGCCTTCCATACTGTTCTCCTTCATTGGGAGGGAGAACAGCCGCCAAAAAGGGTCCTATTTGGACTTCATAAAACCAAAACGGCGTGCATAGAATATATACTTCTTGAACAGAAACAGAACCCACAAACGCAAAAAACAAGCAAACAAAAACGCACCACACAGGCAAAAAAAAAAACAAAAAAAAAACAAAACAAAAAAAACAATGCACAACTACAAGAAAGATGAGGGGGTAGACGGCAAACATTACACTCCTTTTTCATTATCTTCTACTGCAGAGTAAAATAGCTTGTAGAAATTCATTCTTGCGTTGAGCCTAACGCCTCCTTGGGGGTGGTTTGGGTTTATTTACAGTCGTAGCGCAGCGAGGAATGTGCCGCTCCGCCACATCTGGAGCAAACTTTCTCCCACAGTGAGGGCAGGGAGTATAATGACTATTCTCACTGTAAGTTGGGGGCGGGAGATCTCTTGCATTACCCCCAGACTTGAGTACTTTATCCACCTGGCGTGCTTCTCGCATGGAGCGTCGGAATGCCTCACTTTCCGCACGCCAGTCTCGTTTTGGAGCCGATGACGCAGTTAATAAGCCGCCTCCCGACCTCGCTACTCGCTCCGCACCTGTGCCTGAGAGACGCATTGCCCGCATATCAAATACCCTCCGCCGCTTTTGTGCGACACACACACGCTGGTGTCGTGCTAAAGCTTCAGGAGCAAAAGCCCGACCACAGTTTGGGCATTTCTCTCGTTGTCCCTCATCAACGGCCTCTTCCCCCTCAGATATATCAGGGTGATGAAGGGGCAAGTTGTTTTTGGAGAGTACTGGAAGTGAAAGTGCATCGCTGCCCTTCATCCCTTGTGGCGTATTTGGCAATTTTCGAGTGGCACTGGCAAGATTACCGTTTTTTTCTTTTTTCATTCCCCGAAACTTTGACGGAGCTCCCTCCGCGGCTGCCGCCCCCTTTGCTGAGGCTAGATGTGGAAGTGTGGGGGTTTCCATGAATGAGGCACGAGATTTGACGCCCTCGGGTGGCAATGTGGACGACCTTTCATGTGGTGCGTTGCCCATAGCACCCACAGTAATTTTCTCCAAAACTTCACCACACTCCTCACAAAATTTTGCTGTTTGATCCTCAATGGATTCCCCACATTTTTTACAGAACATCACTTCCTTCGTCAGTGGCGCGGCAGTTGAGGTCTTTACATCGCCAAGAGCAACACCAGAATTGCCGCTGAAGTTCCCATCAGCATCGCAAACAGTTTTGCCCGATGGGCGTTCCGGAGCGTGTAGGGTGGAGGCACCAAAATTCTCTGCTCCCGACATTCCCTCACTCGCCACTGCATCCGTGATTGACACACCACAAGTACCACAGAACCTGGATCCTTCTGGAATTTGTTCCCCACAGTGAGTGCAAGGACCAGAAGTTGTTTTGGAACTAAGATCAGCTCCACAGTCTCTGCAAAACTTTGCAGACATGTCGTACTCTACGACGCTGCAACGGGGACAGACACGTCCCGTTGGATCCGTTCTTCCATTTTTCTGTAGTCGATTCACCTTGGGGTTGATTTTTCCCACATCTCCTGTGGGAACATCCTCACCGAGAGTCCGGCGTCTTGTTGCACTTTGTACCTCATTCCTTCCATTTGGCACACGACCTCCCAAATCGTCCACAATTGTAGAAGCCATGGATGCACGTCTATCAAAGTTGCGCAACGGTGGCGACGCCGTCGTTGATTGTGTTGACGCCTTGGATCTCGAGCCAAGCTTGCATGAATGAAGGTGAACGACAAGACGATCAGCGAGAAATTTTCTTTCACAGTTGGGACATGGCACCAAACCATCCTCGAATTTGGCAAATTGGGCCTCATTATCTTCTTCTATCTGGGTCCCGCCAACATTCCAGGGAACCGTATCCGGATGCTTTGGTGGCTCGCCTCGCGTATGCACGTTGGCTACGTCCCATTGGGCCTTCTTTTTGGTGTAACACTGAGAAACATGGAATGCTATGGAGTTGTTTCCAACCTGCTGACCGCACAGATAACAGCAAACAGGCAACTGTGACTTGTATTCCGGTGCCCGTGAAGAAGACGGGTCATTGCTTTTCCTGGATGAGGAAAAACTGTGTGCCGTGTGTGAAATTCGTTGCCTGGTTGATGACCCACCGTCTAAGGCTCCACTGCAACTACTACTAGCACCACCACCACCTCTTACTCCACTGTCTCTTGCCGTCAATGCCGGTTTGCTGTCACCTTTGCAGCTACGCAAGTGAACCACAAGACGATCTGAAAGAAACCTCCGTCCACAGTTCCGACAAGGCACCAAGTTGGCAGTAAACTCATGGAACTGCTCGTCGTTCAGCTTGTTCGTGCTCATACCTTCGCCCTGCCAGTTCACTGTGTCAGGGTGTTTGGGCCGGTTCCCACGCGTGGCAGGATCCGCAATTTCCCACTGCGCAACCTTCTTCGCATAGCATTGCGGGATATGAATGCTGATGGAGGCTGTGCCAAACTGTTGTCCGCATAAATAGCACACGCGCAGCTGCGGCTTAAACGCCGGTCCCTTACGGACACTTGACAGCATCTTTTTGGCTACTTCGCTTCCTTCTCTTCTACACGGCCTGGCGCCGGTGAGCTGGGTGTGATGCAGGAGCCCCACTCTAGCGAGAAACCATCCGAGCAGAAAAATACACAAACGCACAGTGAAACGCAAAAAAAAAAAAACACACACACACGGCAAAATCAGGGAAGTGGTAGTAGTGGTGGAGGGGGGTAAAACACGCTTCAAGAAGAGGGAGTAATGAGAGACACCAACCACAACCACGGTAGTCAAGAGTGATAGTACCTCCCCCGGACTCAAAATAACAATAAACGGTGAAATAAACAATAACAGCATATGTACATGTAGATATGCTGTTAGAAGACAAATGAGGTTCCGCCTCTCACAGAACCCAACCATAGAACGGGAGCTGTATTGCACAAATAACGCTCCAGAAATAACACAAAGAGGTGGGCGAACCCATTTTTACTACCGTTACTGTTTCCATTGCAAACGTCGCTACTTTTTACTACTACTAGTACTACTACTACTACTACTACCAATGGTACTAATAATAGTACTGCTACATGCGTAAACTTGCACAAAAGCAGACACATAAATGTCCATATGTATATATACACACACGTACAGAATACAAAAATAGACGCAAACCATACAGATTAAGCACTTTGCCGTAAAGAAGGGAACTACACCCCATACCCTTCATCTCTGCAGCAACCAGGAGAATAGAAAAACAAACAAACTAACAAACACACGCATTTTCACTATCAACCCATTTTCCACTATTTCTAAAGAAACCTCACACAACAAAACGCAACTACAGAAACTCACACCCTAGTGAATAGCCACCGGTCCTGGATTCTTCACAGTTGATGAGTATTTTGCACCCTCCAATGGACGGATGCGGAACTGCTGTTCGGGGTAAATCTCCTGCACAAGCGCTTCTAAACCATCGGTGCGACCGAATCCCGGCTCGGCCTTGGCACGATGAATACCATATTTTTAAGCATTTTCCTCCTCTAATTCGAAGGCTGCCTTGTCTGCTGTTTCAAGAGCTTTGTAGGCCACGTCTAACTCATGAAGAGGGGGAAGTTGCACTTCACCGCGTTCAATCGCGGAAGCCTCAGAAACACCATGAGGCTTATATGCGATATGCTCCCATGAGGCAAGTCGGTCAAAAAGAGTGCTACGGCGATTAACTTGGTCCAGTTCATATGTGGCAATCCAGTTGTCGTCAAACCAGGGGGTTTGGGACCACCCATGGGAGCAGCTTTCCAAAAAAGCGGCCAACACCACGGTAACAGGAAATTACTAGACGCGAATCAAAGTTGGCAGCAATCCTGCGAAATGCCTCAGTGTGTGTGAGTGTTTGAGGACCTCACAAGTCAAACTTATAACGTACGGCTCGGTGGGCCATGGAGCAACGCACCACCGCACGCGCCGCGTCCACAACCCATGTTGGCTGCACCAAAGTGTTGGGGAAGCAAGCAGGGTATATGTAGCGACCCAATCCACGGTAACTGATACCGTTTCCTATAAAGCGGACCAAAACGAATAATTGTCGCATCTGGATGATTGGCACCAAACGCATCTTCTGCCCGCGCCCGAAAATCACAGTAGTTGGATTCAGAAGCAAATGTCGCATCTAGACCATTGCAAAATATCACTCGCTCTGCACGCACGCTACGCGCCGTCCAGCTTACGTTAGTAGACCCTGTCAAAAAGAAATCATGGTGACTATTATTGGCGTACTCTGCATTTTAATCCACTGCGAATACAAGAGTATCACTATCGTTAGAGGCCACATTCACTTGAATACGATCGGTCACATCGCACTCGTGCAGCTCAATCTTCTCTGGATACTTCTGAAGCAAGATGTCAAGATCAGACCTAGCAGGAATAAGCGTGGGGTAACGGGATGTGGCTCAAACCTTCTCAACGTCGGGATGCTCACAAAATTCACGCACAATTTCCGCCCCAAGATACCCACTGGCTCCAAACACTGTAACACGCTTAGCTGGCTTTGGATTTAGGCGATGACGCTCATGTAGGAGACGCACTGCCGGGTTTGGCACAAACATCGCGTTCCAGTACGGCCCTCGCTCATAGCCAAACTAACCACCTGTTGTCTTTTGTTTACGAGTGGGCTACATTAGTTCCAAATCCTTCCAATCAATAAACATTGACTCGGGCTGATGGCCGTACGGGTCCCAGAAAGAGCGCCCCGCTGCTACCAGCAAGCAGCACGCGCCACTCCTTCCCAATCGACGCATGGCGTTTGCACTATCACGCTTCGCTCTACCACGAAATGTTGTAGATGCAGCAAAAAGCAAATGGGAGAGCAAAACAAAACAAAAAGGCAAAAAGGCAAGGAGAGAGAGGGCACACTATAGCAACGGAAACAAAATAATAATAATAATAATAATAATAGCATTTCCGCCATTTCTTGTACATCTATCACGTGATCACCACAAAGTACATTTCCAGAAAAAAGAAAAAGAAAAAAAAAAACATTTTTCCTTCAATTATTTCTGGTAATTAGTTCAGAGAAAGGGTGAAACGCCTTTCCTCTCTTCCCTGGTTCCTTCCCTCCTTCTTTACTCTTAGTCACTTTTCTTTCTTCTCCTTTGTTTTCTCCTTCCAGTTTGGATATTCAATGCTAATTCTCCCTTCTTGCCACTCATCCGTCCACAGACACACACGCATGCACAACAACAACAAAAAGGCGTCCCATTTCTCCAGAAGGAGCCCGAACACCACTCGCAAGTTCACTAGTGTGCGAATACGTGTCTTTTTTTCCTCCAGTTTGATGTCTTATCGCTCCAGTATAATAGTCCAATCATCACAGATCGGTACATCAGGCTTGCGCAGCAGCAATGCCCCACCCTGCATCTCGTAGTCCACCTCACGGCCAATACCAACTGAATCCACGGTTGTTTGAACAATGACGCGCTTAGGCCGCCCAACGTAGCCGAAAATCATGACACGCTCCACCCTGTTGCGAACATAGAGCGGGGTTAAAACAGATGACATGGCATCAGGGTGAGCTGTGCATGTAAGCTGGTTTCCCGTAAACGAGAGACGTCGGTGAATGTATGCCCCTGTTTCATAATTGAATGACTCACCATCATCTACAAAGAGTTCGCCGTCACTATTGCCGTGTTCATTCAACGCCACGTAGAGGGTAAAAGGATCATGTCGAGCGCTGAATGTACTGCGGCGCATGCGCAGCTTTGCAGGAATAATATGACCACCGCGCAGGAACAACGGTATCGAGTCCATATCCACACTCATCTGAAAAATGCCAGAAGGCACCACCTCACCTGTGGCATAGGAGTACCAGACACTACCTGCAGGTACTGTGACGTTCTTCTCCGTCACCCCTGGCTGAAGCACCGGGGAAACCAATAGAGAGGGACCAAACATGAAGGTGTACTGCTCATCATATAACGTTTCATCATGTGGAAATTCGTAGAAAAGCGGACGCAGCACAGTCGAACCAGTTTTGTGACTAAGGAAAAACTGTGTATACAAGTACGGCAAAAGGGAGTAACGAAGCGCCAACGCAACACGAATGCGGTCGGTTGCAGTCTCGCCAAAAGTCCATGGTTCACGCCGTTTCGTCTCCAAATGGGCATGCGCTCGCATAAAGGGATAAAATACGCCGGCCTGCATCCATCGCACGAAAAGCTCCTCATCGGGTTCAAAGAAAAAACCGCCAATGTCTGCACCGCAAAACGCGTAGTTTGACACGGAAATAGACAACAACTCTGGAAAAGAGTTTTGCAAATGATCCCATTTTGCCATATTATCACCTGTCCACATCGCCGCATAACGCTGAGCCCCAGAGAAGAAGCTTCGTGTCAGAATAAAGGGTCGTTTAACGTGACTCAGGCCTTTGCTTGTCTCTATATGCCCCTGATACACACTCATCAGGTTATACACAGAGTACATGTTATGCAGGTATTTGTTGTCAACCAATTTGCCGCTATCGCTGGTGTGTTTGACATCTCTGGCAATGGTATTATCCCCTACATCGAACACAGATGGCTCATTCATATCCACCCAGGAGTGTACATCATGACTTCCTCCCTCATAACGGTCGTGGTGAAAAAATGTTGCATACCAATCCCTCGTTCGTTTGTTGTAGAAATCAACCCATGAACTCGATCCAGGCCAACACTTTCCCACATAATCCTCCGTTCCCTCCGCATTCTTCACATAGTGGTTGCCATTTGTTGCTTCCTCATGCACAAAGTATCCACTCTCGCGCTTCACGTGCGGATCCTTGATGGTAACAAGCTTTCGCCCCTTTGACGCCAGCGCACTGACAAGCAATTCTGGTTGGGGAAAATTGTGTTTGTCCCAAGTGAAATACTTCTTGTTATCAGTGTGCTCAATGTCAAGCCATAAAACATCATATGGAAGATTGTGTCGATCAAACCCTTGGTCCACATTCAGGCAATCGTTTGTGTTTCGGTAGTTCCACCGGCATTGATGGTAGCCAAGACTAAAATACGGCGGCAGCATGGTGTTGCCAGTGACGGAAGCATGTTGCTTCTGTACCATAAAAGGGGTCGGACCAGGAAAGAAGAATAAGTCCACCAGCCCGCCTTCTGTATTCCATTGACATCCAAGCACTTCATCTTCCTCTTGCACTGTGACACGCATCCCTGCGCTGTTGAGAAAAAGCACGCCTGTGGAGGTCTTCGAGGAATGAGCTAAAAGGAAGGGAATCGCCCCATACAAGGGTCTGGGATCGTCAATTTTGTACTGAAAGGCGTCGTTGTTGTACAAGACGTACGTCACATTTTTGTGCAGCGGTAGATCCATTGCGTGCTCAGGGATGCCGTAGAGGCGTCGAGCAGAGGGAAACTTAAACTTCACAGAAGGTTCCTCAAGCGAGCCCAGTGACAGTTGTACAGAAGTTAGCACAGACCCATTGCATTCATAACTTGCATAAAAAACATCATCAGCGACAGTGGCTGTTACAACACACAAACCACTGGAAATGCTGCATTTCTCTCCTTCGCAAACGGAGTCAAGTTTCACCTTCTCCGGTTCCCGTATCACCACGTCCTTGACTTCGTAAAACGATTCCGTCAATGGTGTCAGTGTGACGCGCAAAACTCCACCTCCGTAGTCAGAGACGTTAAGGGAGGCTTTTGAGACTAGATTCATAACCTCTACGCTGTTCACAGACACCGCCATGAATACAAGAAGCGTGGCAAGCAGCAGCAGCAGTCGCAGCGAACCGTAAGGTCCAGAAAAATTCGGCACAGCCATCGATGGCTTAGCAGTCTACCGCTTCCTCGTTATTACACTTGCGTCAGCGACAATATGTATATCCAGGGAGATGTGTATGTAATTATATCTTTTTTTTATGTATACCTCTTAGTGGGGCGTGGCTTCAACCAATGACAGCAGCAATGAACGACCCTACTGCTTCGAGACGGTAAAAGATTCAAAAGGTCAAAAAACTCAAGAAGGAGAAGGCAAGAATATATATATATATATGTGGAATCCAACTAAAAAAAAAGGGAATTAAATAATCAGGCAAAACCAAAACAAAAACACAGACGTAAACACACACACACACAGAGAAAGAAAGAGAGAACACGATACCTCAAAGCGTGGAGATTAACGATGCACGTACACATAATCACATATGCGGATATTTCAAGATAGCTTATACAAGACAAAGACCTCCAAGACTACAGTGCTTCCTTCTTAAGGCGGTCGCTATCCATGTAACGAAGACCACAGTTCCTCGCAAACTCTGCATCCCGTCGTCCCTGAGATAACACATCTGCACGGCCGTACTCTACATCCCCCAGAGACTCACCCACAAGCAACGATTCCGCATCGGCGCGGAGGCCGCCGTTCAACTGAATTGTAAAAAACTGCCACAAGCCAGAGTATGGAAGAATAAAGGGCATTCCGTCACGTCGGTGGGTTGCACTGATGCAAGACATTGTTGATACCACCACCGTCACGTCGCAGCTGAAATGCTGTTGACAGAGTTCTGCAACGGGGTTTAGCTTCGCCTCAAGCGCAATCTCATTGCCATGGTGAAGTGAGGGATAATGATCCAGTAAAACGATGCGGTAACCCTTTTCGGCAAGCTTGTGCACGGCAGAGGGCAAATCCAGATCTGCCAGGGACCACACATGATGTCCCCGTTGCAGGTACGCACGTATGGGTTCACGTCGGATGAGGACATTGTCAATCATAAAAACGGCAATGAGCCGGGCGGCATCGTTGTAGGTAGTTTTGGATGCCGCATCCACTGTGCCACCCCTCCTAAAAACGCGATAAAGGACTCGCCAGTCCGGAATATTCCATGCAACGCCTTTGACATGAATTGTGGTTTGTGGTTTTCCACGCATCACGAAGTGGAGCGGCACCGCATCACGCACGCGAAGAAGATTGGCCATCGTCTCCTTCATAATAACACCGCCATGAGCTCCCTGACCACCGCGGGACTCCTCCAAGGCCTTTTGAAGGTATTCTTCAAACCGTACACCCATCTCTACCGTTCTCTTCCGCTGCTGTGCTGCAGCCCCTGTATCTCCTGTCATGGTCTCTGTGTCAGCCCCACTTTTTGTGCTTGTTCGCAGACGTTTTCGAGCAAGTTGGGTTTCTCCCGCCACGACTAAAGCAGAACCCTCAGAAATAGCCTGATCACTCGTAATGGGGCGATGCAGAATCTGCATCCCCTTCGCCATGCGCTTCTTTATCATGCTTTTGGAGGCCCGGACGAAGACGGTGCAGTCATCTGGCACGGCGCTAGGTGGAAGAGCCAGATTGTGCTCATCGACAAACAAAAGCGGGATATGCGCCAAAATTTCACCGCGCCGCGTCACCAGTCTCCCACTGGCATGCTCAAGAAGCACAATAGCCGTGGTGGGAGAAATGGGCACGGGGGTGTCGTTCTTTGCACGTGGAGGACGCAGTAGCAGAAGCGGGACCCACACATCGTCCACCTTTACATTGTTGTCAGCGCAAAACTTCGCGAGTGTGTCGGGCCCGCCACTTTGCAGCAGCCTGTAAGCATCTGTCATTTATTCAGCTGCCCGACAACAGCGGGCGAAAGCAGCAGGAAAGGAAGAAGCACCAGAGTGCCACAACAAAAAGGCTCCCCGGCGGTGTAACTTGTGCTTCCCTCCTTAACAGGCAAACAAACACACACACGCGCACATACGCAAACGCAAACGCAAAAGGAAAAGGAAAAAAAAAGAGAACAATCAACAAGGCAAATAAAAAGGTAAAAACTCCATCCTGTGTCATTCACTTCGGACCTGCAGTGTCTGCCTGCACCCACGCCCAGTGGGGGAACCACAAAAGCACACATCAATAACAACAATAAAAAAAAAAGGAGTCGTCTCCCCCCCCCCTCCATTTCTACTGGCGAGTGACAGCGATGTTGTAGCCCGTAATTCCTCGTGGCAGTCATTCAGTATCATATATATATATATATATATATATATATATATATA